TGATGGGCACCAGCAGGATCAGCCACCTTTGCAGATTATTTTGAGTCTCTTTTTTAAAAACGTTTCTGAACAACTGAGTGAACCATGGATGAACCTCAGCTGCATGTCACCAGTGGTACAAAATGTGTGTTTTATTTTTATTTCTCATAACGACTTCTGAACCCAACCCATCATCACTTTCGGTAGCTCTGGATTTAATGTGACACTTTCTTTTTAATTTGTGCATTTGAGTCATTTAGTTGAAGGATTTACTCAATGATTTACACTGAGTGCAACAGCAGATTAAGCTCCCAGTCCTAGATCACTTAAGTAGCAACCAATAGAAAAAAAAAGGTGCAAGAGTCCAAACTTAAGTGCACTAACATTCCTTTGACTGCACATTACAAGAAAGTCTCCTTGAAAAATTAAAAATTTGGGGGCTTGCTGATGTGGTGAGGGAGAGAATGACAGCAGGTACTCCTGGAAGAGAAGTGTTTTCAACATGCAGGTGAATGTGTATTTTAATGCTGGGCTGGGCTACCTCTCTAGTATTCGTTTATTCGTTTACCACAAGTGAAATTATTGTGCTTTGTTTTCACTGCTCGTCTGTGTTGGTAGTTGTCCTCCAGCATGGTAATCAGACAGGAGGGAACATCACGTTCTCATGTATGGCTTTATAGCTAGAAGCCCATACATTTAGCCTGAGGATTAACGTCATAATGATGATTAAAGATAAGACGTTTCAGAGCTATCGCTGTATGACTATCTGCAGCGTTTGTCCTTGGTAGCATTTGCGAAATGGCTTTGGCTCATGAATGTGTTAAACAATGGATGATGAAGCCAAACCTGCCAGCCTGTTCATTTCAGTGACTGCTGAACTACTCATACTTCCGCATCTAACTTTGGGTGCCCACGACGCATGGAAAATAGAGTCGTTCTATGGCTCTACCTGGCTGCCAGGAAAAGCTTTACAGTCGTTCTTTCATGTGAACTGCAATTTCAGCGACCTCAAATTCACGGGACAGGACATGCTGTTCCTGGGAGCTTTGGCTCAGCCTGTCATGATGCAGTCCAGACAGATTGTAATGAATAACATTCACGACTGGCTAGGGGATGTGCAGGAGGGTGAGGGCATCTTCCAAGAACTGAACTTGACACTCGCAGACTAACTTGGTTCCTGCCTTTATGTATTGGTAGCATCTTTTATTGGACCTGAGTGTCCTTTCCAAAGCCCTCATGTGATGATGATGGTATGATTCCTTGAATGTATTCTCCTCCTGCACATGTGATTAAGTTTCTGTAGCCAAGGTCAAATATCAGGAGCAATTGGGAGTCTAGCTTTTATGGCTTTGTCAGTAAATTTTCCCACTGGGTATTATTACCAGAGTAATGTGCTATAATCAGAGGTTAAGATGGGAGTCCTGTATGAAGGTGTAAGAAGGTAGAGAGAAAAAGCTTAAACAGGATGAATTAATATGGTCACACCCTTGCTGATCACTGTGAGACAAAACATATTAAAAATCTTAAATCAACAAAATGACTGCTTGCGGTGCTCTTTGCCTGATGTTACTGTGTCTGCGCCTGCAGCCCTGAGGCGGCAGACAGCTCTTCCTTCGACGTCCAGCTGGGCGACATCATCCTCACCGCCACCGATGGGCTTTTTGACAACATGCCTGACTACATGATCCTGCAAGAGCTGAAGAAACTCAAGGCAAGTCATGCTGATGCCCAAACTGGTTTGCCATTAGAAGTGGAATCAGAAATATGTCTGGAATCTAAAATGTCATTGCTTCTTTGTTTTTGCTCCTCAGAACACAAACTATGAGAGCATCCAGCAGACGGCCCGGAGTATTGCAGAGCATGCCCACGTACTGGCGTATGACCCCAACTACATGTCGCCTTTTGCACAGTTTGCCTGTGACAATGGACTGAATGTAAGAGGTAAGTGTCTCAGCTCTACTTGGACCAGATGGAACTGAACCTTATGTCCTGATGCTCTCAAATAGGTGGACTACAGCACATAATATGAATATGCATTTTTGCTTAGCACCATCCTAACAGGACACTGTTCTTTTCTGTCCAGGAGGAAAGCCAGATGACATTACAGTGCTGCTGTCCATAGTGGCAGAATACACTGACTAGAGTCTGTGTGGAACTGTGGACAGGGGGCATCTGCCTCTGCAGGTATCGGACTGCTTTGATTCCTGCTGGCCAGGATGAAGGACTGATGCCAGATGCGTCCCCCCGCATGCTCTGGCTCTACTCTGCCTCAGCCCCCAACTGACCATCAACCCCTTCTCCCCCCCAAAAAACTCCTACATGCCCACTTCTCTGTGATCATGTACATCACAAAGGGGCTGAATAAAGAGGACTAGAGGCCTGAACCGTCCTCTTGGCCAGGCTGCAGTGTTGGCTTCTTTGCAGTGTTCCAGTGCTCACTGGATAATCCCATTGTCCGGGATAAGCATCGGGCACGCTAGAGACGAGGATAAGTCTCTGATCGGTGGTTTGGGCAGGGAGGACGCTGAGATTCAGATTGTGAGGCAGATGTAGCCAGATGGTAGGTAAGGGCTGCTGGAAGGGAAAAACTACTGAGTCCATCAGTAGTATCAAGAAGGGAACTGCACAGGAAGTGGCAGCATTAGGGCTCAATAAACAGGCTGCCCTGTGCAAATGGATGTTCCTAATGATACAGTGGTAGTTAGAAAACTTTGGCCTGGAAGCTTTTATGTTGGTGTAGGGAGCATATGTTTGACAGTAGGATATGACTGGTGTGCTCTGTTAAATGTTTGCAGAAAAGTTGTGTATGTGGTTAGTTACTTGGCGGGCTGATCCAGTAACATTTCATCAAGAAGAGTGGCAGCTGCCTTTCCCATACCAGTGCAGTTCAAATCCTGCACACATTTTGTTACCTAATGGCTGCTGGGATGAAGATTTTATAGTTCAAAAGCTTCTCTGGATGTATATTATGTCAAACTGATGCCCTCCCTTTAATCTCACCGCTGCTGCTGAAGTCTTGATTGTGATTACATGTGATGTCTATGGATGTGTGCGGGATGAATGCGCTTGTCAGTGTGTCTCTTGAAATGTGTAATTAGTGTCTATGAAATGGATGTGAAGGCTACAGACTTCTCCATATCCACTGGGCTTAATTGGTCTTGCAGCCTTAAACGCACAAAGCTGAAAAGCCTATCGGAAAAAGCTCTACACAGTGGAAGTTGGTCAGATGACCAAATGTATTTTTGTAACTTCTTTGTTCAGTGGGATTTTTGAATTCTTTGGATGGATCACAGCAGCATCAGAGTAGCTTTAGAAACTGTTGTTCTCAGTCAGCATTCCCATTTCTTCTCTCTCGCCTTTCTGCTGTAGAGCTCCAATGGCACATTCATCAGGTCACTGCAGGTTTCATGTGAAAAACTGTCATCATATTTCCACTACAGCACTACAAATTTGCACTCTGTTTTCCCCCCAGTGAAAAAAAATTTCTTCATAAAATCAGTATTTTGTGTAATGTTATGATGTGCCTTGTATCAGGTGTCGCTGATACTGGCAAACGTCCATAATTCCTTAAATCCCCACCTATGTGCCAGATACTGAGCACAAAGCCTGAAACTGCTAAGTAGCCATAAGAGTCAGCAACAGCTTTCCCATCATGCCCTGCTGTCTTAACACTAGGTCTTTTCACGTACAGTATGTCCAACCTTTTTTCTCCTGAAATCTGCATCTCTGCACTCAGTCAGGAGCTTAGGAATAGTGATAAAGCCATTGCACGCTTAGAAAATCCTCCCTGTGGATCTTCAGATCACTGTTTACAATCTTCACTACGTAATGGACTCTTTCCATACTTAATCTACTGCAGTGTCAGGTGTCACTTTGAAACGAGGTTGATGGCCACGGAACAGCAGATACAGGCAGAGCAGTGAAAGGTCAAAATGTGAGTTTAAAGTGTTCTAGCACCGAGTACAATCTAAGCAGCCTTAACAATATTACAAAGCAATTCTCCCAGTCCGATGGTACTGCTACTGTTAGCTTTGTGGTTCCTGACTCATACCTGTCGTGACACCTCTTCCCTGACGTCTCTCATCGTCCTCTTCCACACACTTTGTTACAACCAACCAGAGCATGTCTATATTTTGGGTGTACAGTTCAATAAAGATCGAAGCTCTGTAAAAATACATTTGAAATCTGTACAATATTTAAATAAAGAGTATAGTATTTATTATCCTGTTGTTGTGTTTGTTGGCTGTGATGTGAGTATAAACCTGTACTTGAGTTTTAGATCAGAACACAAATCTGCTATGCTTGAGTATTGAGCAATCCATTGCAGAGGTGTTTTCTTTACCGGTGCATGCTGGATTACTCTAGCCTGGTGTTTTCCCATCAAGACATTATCACAATACGTTCTGCATCCACTGTTACCTCATGGTCCTGAAAAGATAAGATAATGCTTATGAACACCTTGTACCTTGTGTGTACTCCCACATTCCTCAGACATAAGGCATCCTAAGAATTACACACAAGTGTGGCATCTTCAGGCTGACCAAATACATTTTTTTCCTCCTTACATGCTATGACTGATGTATTTCACAACTGAAATAGTAAAAACAAGTTCTTGGATATATTCTTTGATAAATATTACAAATACATTCTTTTTCAATTCCCAACTGAACATTGTGGGTATACGTAAAATCTTGAGCACAGTTTTAACAAGCAAAAACAAAATGCCATGAACAAAACTACTTAAAATGCAGAGTATATTAAAAAATAAATTCATTTAGATCCTGTCATTCCGACAGTTCAATGTTGTGGCCTCATTCTGGCAGAGAAACGAGTAGTGTGTAATAACTCTGTTCTCAGAGTGAAGGGCTTCTTGTGTAGTCTTCCTCCACATTCTCCTCTCCGTCACTGTAGCATGCCAGAACAGGCAGCCTGACAGCACTGCCATCATTGTCCTGCTCTGAGGACAAAGCCCTGAACAGGAGTGAGCAGATCTACAGGGGGAGAGAGGAAACGTACGTTAGTGCAGTGTTATTAAAACATTTTAGAGCTTCAGAAATGAGCTGGCTTTTATTTTGATTTTCCTATCACTTTGTTTTTTTTTGCTGAAGGGAGGAAAAAAGGAAATGTGTATTAAATGAAATCTTCAATGCAATAAAAGAAATTCGAGTGCTGAATCAGGTCAACACAGAGGAACAATACCAGGTGCCAGACAGAAAGGTCTGAAGACAAAAGGTCAGAGTATTGGGTTTGAGTGTGATTTCAACAGAAAGGTTAGATTCGTCACACTGACATAGAACACAGGCTCTCTCACGTCCAATGTCACCTTACTTGTCTTCAGTCGCACCTCATATGGTGAGGCATTATGGCACTCTGGGCCTACTTCCAGTGGAGGTCAAAGTAAAACACTTGATGCACTTTGGTACTTCTCAGTGTCACCTGCCCTGTCAACACTGTAAAGCCCGCAAGCCCGGGAACAAGCAGAGGTCAAGTGGAGTTGCCAGTGTAAAATTAAAAAACAAACAGGAAGCTCTTGTTACCGTGGAGGAAGCCGGAGTCGAGGTGGCACTGGGACAGGCCTCATCAGGTGCACCGAGTCCATTAGGGTCGTCAGTCTGAGGCAGAAGCTGCATCACAAACGGTGGGTTGATAATGGGGCTGCCCTGGCTGGATGCTATCAGCTCTGTCATATCAGGAATTTCCTGAGGCTCCCTGCCGTCTGCCTCACCTGAGCCGACAGGTAGAACAGCGGCACCTGCACACCTGGAAACACACCCAACACATTCGTCTTTGCGGCAAGCTGTTGTGTGAGCTAATGATCAGTTCCTGAGCTGGCAAAAATAGTCATGACGCTCGTGCGGTGCCATATTCTATAGCCGCAAACTAACAATTGTCCCTATGCAGACATCACAGTGAAATTTGACTCGTGAGCCTGGTGAGGAGAGGTGTAGTTAATACCGGCATGCCTGGTGCAGGGTGTGGAGAGACGGAGAGGAGGGGCGGCCTGAGAGGAAACACACAACGCTGTGACGCTGAAAATTAGGGCATCTTTTTGGACAACTCTCATAGGAAACATGTTTCTGGGGAACATTTAAATATATTGACCATGTGTCTTTGTTGCCGTCAATAATAAAAACTGTGTTCTGTTTATTTCAAGCACTTCACATAAAACAGTGCATTTACAATGATATAATAATGAAATAGTACTCTGATTACTTGTAGTTCGTGATGACATGTTCAATAAGTTAAATTCTGCCACTAAAACTGTCAAAGAGAATAACGAGGGTAATAAATCTTAAACAAATTAACAAACTGTGACTGTAACAGGGAATGAAGCTCAGCTGACACTGAAAGTGGCCTTAAGCACGGTATGAGCAGACAAGAAAACAACACTGTGGTGGTAACCACAATACGTGTCATCAACCTCTGAGAAGCAACAGACCAGAAGTATAAAGAGAAACACTGCAGGAAGAAGTACAGACAGCAAACTGGTTGTAAGAAGTCTCCACACAAACTCAGGCTCTTTAGTTGTACTTCAAAGGGACCCTGAGGCAGTAGGCAAGAGAAGTGTCTTACAAGCATGCCACGAATAACAAAAATGTACTGCATATTTTGAGAAAACAAACTAAATGACTTGTTTCAAAACAGAAAATACAGGTTAAGGAATGCAGGCGGTAGTTGAGCTCCTGAGCTCAATAAGTGGGGGAAGGTGCTCTGAAGAACTCCGAGCAGTGCACACAAGCAAACCAAGCTACAAATGACCCAAGATGTTCAACAGTACAGCTGGGACTGGTGCGACAGAATCCACCCACGGCCCAAAGCACAGTGCGCGAGAAAGAGAGCAGGTTAGCAGAGCAGGACAGTGACAGTGGCCAAGCATGCTAGCTTAGCGGAGATGAAGGGTTTACATGCTGTCACACTGACAGGCTCCTAACCTAACTCCACATGTCCTGGGCTTGACCTATTTATCTTTGTTACAGACACAAGGCTGGCTGCTGTAATACTATACCCTCTTAGGAAGCTACAAACAGCCAATGAGGACAAACTGCCTCCACCGAGTGCCAGGAGAGAAGCTCAGGTAGAGCCCCGTGGGAAGCTTCGATTATACTCTCGAATACTTTACTGCATGCAGGATTAAAAGCAGTGTGACTGGAGCCAGCACAGTGTTTGTTACCTGGAGGTAGCAGGGGCCAGAGTCTCTGTAGGCTGAGAGGGGTCCCTGCTTTCAGAGTCGATGAGAGTAGCTAGCACCACAGTGGCCTCCAGGATCATGTCCTCCACAGAGAAGCACACAGGCCTGCAAACAACATCAATGACACATTGATAGATATCTGACAGCAGCAGAAATCCAATAACATGATCTCTTCTTTTTAAAGAAGCCAAAAGAAACACCATAACTGGTCAACTGGTAAATCAGCTGGTACTATAATCAGACTCACCAGCCACAGACAAAATAATTTACTGGGTTTTGGGCTTGTCTGGTGTTAACTGAACACTCAGCCTGTGGTACAGCACCACACAGACTAGCGTTGGTCTTTATAACTTGAGATGCAAATGCTACTCAGGCTAATCACAATGGCTCAGAGACTTACTTTCCTGCAACGCCAAAGTGGACCGACACTGGAAGGCAATGGGACTCTGCAAAGGACAGTAAACCCTGGAAAAAACACAACAGCAGCAAGTCAGTGGCAAAAAACGAGATATCTGTGTCACGACAATAACATTTTAATAGCTGATCATTTTGAGAATAGTTTCATGGCATGTTTACAACAATCAGGCTAAAGAAAAACGTCAACGCTCGAGCAAATTGAGGGCGACTAAAACGTAAAGCCTGGCCTCTAATCCATCCAAACCCGATTTTCTAAAACCGACAGGAACAAGAAGACTAGGCTGGCTAATGAGGAGCCTCACAGCGGGGTGTAAAAGAAACATTCCAAGAAGTTAGGGACAAGAGTCGTGGGTGTTAATGCAGCTCAAGTCTTAATAACTGGACAGTTCATCCAAATGTCCAACCAAGTTCTTTTGCTTTGTTTTCTAAGGCAAGAAAGAAGAAAGCAATTAAATAAGGGGTGTGTTCATTTAGAAGCTTTAACAGACCACTTTGGATTACAGAGCACGCTATTCTGGAAATGACATCATATTTCTCTAAGATCCAATGTTTTGCTGTTACTCAAGATATAAATAGTTTAAGATCAACTTAAGTTGAACCAGCCCTTAAATATAAACACATTCCTACTTGGCTCGGAAGTTACACCTTTCAGAATGAACTGCACAATGTGAAGCCTATAATTTCTGCCACTCATAAATTCAATTCCTTTTTCTCTGTAGTGGTATAACATGCATCATTTAGGTCACACTACCTTTGCTATAAAAAGGAACCACAGCAGTGAAGGGAAAGTTCACATAAAAAAACGATAGAGAGGCCCGAGTACAGAGGCTTTAGGACACTTGAGTATGCAGATTACAGGAGCAGAAATATGAGCTCCTAAGACGTTAAATGCTCCTGGTAAGCCAGTCACACACACATACTCTCTGCATACACACTCAAAGGTACACACGCCTCCAAAAATAACCCTGTTACCCTCAACTCCTTCAGACAGAAGGTTATGTCCGAGTCCACTCCAATCTGAAAGTAGTCAAACTCGTCTGGGTGTAAGGACATCTCAGTGCACATCATCTTCATGTGACCTGCGACACGAGTACATCCAAGTCACAGAGTGTCTTGTACAACATTTTTAGTTTTTGTTTTAATGTGGTTGAAGAATTAAATGTGCGGCATTTGAATGATCAGGTTAGGTTGTCAAATGTCAATCTCAATCTATCTGCCGCTCACAGCGCGGCCCTGGGCCTGTGGCCAAATCACAGTGTAAAGTTAGCTCACCGTTTCCCCCCTCGTAGTAATTTCTCAGGCTGACTCTCAGAGGAGTCATGGACAGAGTGATCTCCTCCTGGGACACTGGGAAATGCATCACCATATCACCAAGAAGCCTGCAGAGGTAGAGAAAAACAAATGCAAAACCACACAGAATCAACTCAATCAAGCACTACACAGAGAACCTTTTGTCAGCAATGTCCTACTGAAGGATCGTGGTTCTCCAAAGTCTCTATACTTTGGGTAATAATGTTTATGTCTTTTTGTTTAATCTGATTGATTGAACTGAATTGCACTGAACTGAAGCTCTGTGCCGCCCAGTGTCAGCTGATAGTACAAACTATTGTGACCACCCATTCTCTCTCCATCAAATAGTCTGGACTGTTGAATCCAGCTAGAGGCTACCATATACTTTAATCATTTCACAATAAATCCAATTGTCGTGAAAAGAAGAGAGGTTAAGAAAACAAAAAATTTGTTTGGCTAAAAAAGGGTCCTACTCAATTATAGAAATGTGCATCTGATGTTTTATTTTCAGAGTACTGTATATAATAGAAAGCTGAGGATCTAATTTGATAACAGAATACTGAGTTGCTAACCTGGCAGGAGCTTTCAGCACATTGGGACAGAGGTGTGAGGCAAACACCGCCTGCAGAGCCTCACTTTCCTGGAACCGTAGGTTGTGGGTTTTAGTGATGCCTATCACAAAAGCAGACAGGATATTTGGAGCACACTGCCACCAAGTGCTGACAATATGCAACGCTGTGTGTTAAAGGTCATTTTGAGCATGGTAAAAGAAAACAGTTCAGAGTTTTTATAAGTCCATTACATGAATGGATAAAGACTTTTTTTTTTTTACAATCAAATAGGCTAAGTCTCTAAAAACCCTGAATCTTTTTTCTTTATCTTTCCTTTACCTGCAGCTAGTGTATACTACAAAATGCAATGTTTCCTACCATGCCTGCAGAAAAACTGGATCATCACCCGGTCACTGGAAGTGCTGATCGATATCTGACAACGCTCCACATTACGCTCAATGGAAGTCAAACACCGGAAAAGAAGTAGAACAGACTTGAAAACAAACAGACACGTTTAAGACAAGACAGCCATGACTGTTTTAACATTTCAACCACAAAGTCTTAAAGGGAGGACCTTATCATGTCATGTTTGTGCCTTAGTTCAGTTTAGGCTTCTACTGCTAAAAATTTGTATTTGTCCAGTGCAGTGAGCTGTGATGAGCTATGTACAGATGAATAATCAAAATGACTGATATACCTTCATGACCAGCTTGCATTTGACTGTTTCACTGCCCTGCCCTGAAACTGATCCCAAGCTGTAGTGCTGGAAGAACAGCGGTGAGAAGAGGAAGCAAGCATATGCAGAATGAGCAGAATTCACTGATCTCAGCGCCAGCTTTAAGACAAAGAGAGAGAGATTCAGTCAAGATGCTGCTCATTTCTGCCATAGCCTGCAGGAGAAAAGGAGCTGACAGCGGCCACACATATGGAGAGCACCCATACAATAATTTTTAAAAGAAAAATAAAGACGAGGGGGAAGCTATAATGTTACTCCTCTGGCTCAGGTCAAGAATATGTGATAATTCAACTACACGCTGTTTGCCTTCCAGATTTAGTTGCTGCTTCTCACCCCTTTGGACATGGGATCCAACCACAGTTCATCTCCAATCCGTGACAGGGCATGAACAGCCTTACCAAATGCTGTAACACAACAATGTTCAAGGTTAGCCACATACAATTGTTTACATGTCTTACTAGAAGTTAACCACGCTAGCTTTTTATTTCATAACAAAATGGGCTAAGTTAGTTTGTTAGTTATAAGCTAAGCTACATTAGCCTAGCATCAGCTTTCATTATACATATTTTATAAGCATCATATGAGCTGCTACCTATATGCAGGTTACATGTTTTAAATCTATATTTTCTCTACAGCAGATCTATCTTGGTAACCAAATTTACAATTGTTTAGTACTACCTTTGACACAGTTTCCTTCAAGTACACAGTTCATATTTGCTGATGACAGACTTCAACTCAGGAGCTCATCGCGGGCTTCGACAAAGGGCGCGCGCGGGCCGATACTAATACAAGGAAGACTTATTTGTCACATTACAACATGTTGCAGAGGGAAATTTTGTTTGTAACTCCCTTCTGCTAAATAGCAGACAAGATACTGTAGTATAAAAAGCAATTTAAAAACGGTAAACGGAAATAAACTAAATTCAGTGGAGCAGTGCTGAGGATGAATTTGAGCTTAAAAGTCTGATAGCTGCGCTGCAGTCTGGTGGTGGCAGCAGAAACTCTTCTCTTCCTAGAAGGCAGCAGGGTGAACAGGCTGTGGCTGGGTGGGTACTGTCCTTTAGTATCCTTTGGGCTCTGTGAAGGCACCTCACCTCAACCATATCACTGATATTCGGGAGTGATATAGTGTATGAAACATGAAGGACTCTCTAAAAAACTGATCCCAACATAAGGGCCAAGTTGGCTTGAAGGGGGACCTCCCCAGGAAACTGCAAGCTGTAACTGTACATACTTAATGGTCTTTATTTATTGGTTTATATAAAATACTTTTTATCTGTAGTATCTTGACAGATGTTAATTACACTGAAAACAAGATGATTAAATAGTTATTGAAATAGTTAATAAGGATGCAGAGCAATAATAAAAATACATTATAAATGTTAGAGGTGTCTGTAAGAAGTGGTAAAGTTGGATAATTTATAAAGACCAAATAAAGGTATATTATTAGAAAGAAGATAGATAGATAGATAGATAGATAGATAGATCTATCTCTCTATCTCTCTCTCTCTCTCTATCTATATCTATATATATCTATCTCTATATATAGATATATAGAGATACACACACACACACACACACACACTGACTGCTAGAACGCAGAATTTCCAATATAATGTTTATTATTGTGTTTTGGATAATAGTATGATTAAGAATACAAGTACACTTTATGAAACCACTACAAGTAGACATTCAACTTAAAGAACAACATGGAAAGACGTGTACTATAACTCGACATGCAGTAGTGCTTGTAATACATGCATGTCTGTATAAATCTGCCTGCTTGCTGAGGACATTTTTGTGCAATAATAATACAACAGGCATTGATATAAAGATCAACATACTCACTAGAAGGTTGTTAAAGCCTTCAAAATAGTAATACCATATCTCATGCCTAGCTGTCATCTCTTGACTATTTTTGGAAGTATGACATCAGAATTAGCTGTGCTGCTTTTCCTCTGCCCTTGTGGCTTTGGCCTTGCCACATCCTTCTCTGCATCCTTTGTGAAGGTACTATTTTTTCTATGGTGATGATCCCCATACTTCCTTCTGCAGGTGGGATTCTGACCTAGGAGATACAAAACACAGCATGAGAAGAATGGTAGTGACAGTTTATGTTTGAGACATTTAGATACACACCTGACTGAACGCATGTGTGCAGCACACTGAGATAGTGCTGCTTCATCTGCTGCCTCAAGTGCTCTGTACTATAAATGTTTGCTATACTGCAAAGGTAGCGTCTCTGTCCGGCTGTAAGGGCTGGGTGCTGAGAAAGAAACGAGAAAGTAGCCTTGTTACATATGAGGAATATTACAATTATCTTAACAGTAAAAACGTCAGAACGAAAACTGACTTGAGTGTGTTCTAGTGTTTTATGTGGTTACCTGCAAGAAGGGTGCAGACATCATAGATTTGGGAATGTGTATTGTTTTCATGTGCTGGCTGCCCGCAGACACATTTGTGTGTGTTCCTCTGTACATCTCCCTCCCTTGCTGATTAGGTAGATATTCAAAGCCTGCCAAAAGCAACATGTAACAATACAATGCCTTATTTCTAACAATTAAGATCATCTGTGGTGTTATGCAAGCAGCACATTTTAAGCAAAACACATTTTACCGGAAATTATTTTAATTCCAGTGTATCATAGCACACAATTAACTCAATTCAGCAAGTCTAGATTTGATCCGTTTAAAATATTGATGGAAAAAAAAAAAAAAAAAAACTTTAAAATTAGTTCTTGGATGTGTATCCACCAGAAATTAATGTTTCATTACATAAAAATTTATATATATATATATATATATATACACACACACACACACACACACACACACACACACTTAAGTAATGTAATACATCTACTGAAGTAAAAAAGTGAGGTACTTAAACTTAACGTGCTTTTTGAGTTCATACTACTTTGTACTTATAGTTTATTGTACTTTTTGGTAAGTCAAGTTTAGAATTTACTTTAGAATTGGCTTCTTTTACATAACAGATCTGAACACTTTTTCCACCAGTAGAAACTACATTACTCACAAGCCGAGAGGTTTAGTGTAGTCATCAACTAGAAAGCAGACATCTACAATTATATTTTAGATACTGTTTGCATTCAAATAATCTACTCTAATTTAAAATGAAAACAGGTTTACTCATGTCTGGTTAGCATTTAAGAGAGATATTTGACTCACCGTCAGTGCATCCCTGGTTAGATTCTTCAGTCCTAAAAAAATCAAAAAACTCAGTTTGAAAAATAGAGAATATAGATGAATCTATCATCTATATTCATCCATTAAATATCACATAGCGGCCTTACCTCATTAAGATGGGACCTTTTCTATGTTTTAACAAGTTTTCTTTTTTCAGATGCTCAACAAATGTAACGCGCTTTCTCATTGTTATTTACAATCCCAATTTCTCCTGTCGATATGTCAGACAGGTTGCTAGCATCTTTATCAGCTCAGTTTTTGTTGCAGCCAGCAGAGCCTATTAGTGTGAAATGAAGCCAGCCCTGGAATCTGACACCATTCCCAGGGTTCCAATTACAGAGCAGAGGTCTAATATACTTGAACCCAGAGCGTGTTCTCATCTAAAATGTAAAACACAAACTAAATTACAAGCCACTCTGTTTACACACTTTATTGAGCATCATGTCCAATATACATTGCATTGACACAAAATGAAAAGAAAAAAACCCCAAAACAAATAATGGCATTAGGGTGGAATACCTGGACACACCATTTTCAGAGCGTATTGCTTAATGACATTTCAAACGCACCGAATCTGTGCAAATACAGTGAACACCGGTCAGAGGAGGTCATGGTAGGTTAGAAAATTCTGACTCAAAAAGGTAATGTCAGCAGTTATGTGATCATCAAGTCTACAGAAATCTACCAACTGTACACATCACATTCACCCAGAATGTACTAACAATGGTATTATATTTAAACATACCCAAAACTCCTTCAAACCTGATTGCATGCGCCAAAAGATGGTTAGCTATTTGTCAGTCACAGATCAATCATGTATAACATCATTTCAAATAGATGTCGTCATGGCTTACTAATCAGCAACACCATCAATGAAAGTGAAAAGCCAGTGGTTTCCAGACTCCTCCCAAAACACGGCTGTGTTAAGCTCCTTAAACAATAAAACCTAGATGCAGGATTGTGTTCATTTCCCTTTAGAACACTTCTTTATACTTTACCAAGTGGTGTGTTAACTTCAAGTCTCTATCAAGAATTACAACCCAAATTCAGTGATTAAGTAAAGGTGATAAATATTATCTAAGTATGCATCAATCACAACTCAAGATGTTGGTAGAATTAAAGAGCATTACTCAAATCCCCAGAGTCTAAACCCACGAGAGACTTAACATCATTTACCCACACATTGCACCAAAGCCGAATGTGCCACGACAAACAAAGCAAGAATGACAAGCCTAAATCTACTACGGAGCCCCTAATATTCCTCATGTTAATAGAATAATAACTCAAACAACCATAATCCTTGTCAACTTTAAAAAAAAAAAAAGATAAATTTAAAAAAAAATCCTCGTTTACTTTCTTTATCTTTTCAAATTGAGGTAAGCTCAGATGCCAGTTAACCAGTACACACGCAAAATAATCACAGCTTAAGCTACTTTCACAGACTGTATTTGGTTGTCCATGATTTATAATGACATTGTGAAAAGACATTAGCCTACCTCTTTAACCATAAGGGCCATGTGTTAAGGGAAATGGTCAGGAATATTAGAGGTTTATCTTACTGATTGCTAATAGACACCCTAATGAATTTTGCTCCTGAGAAGTTGGCACAAACCTTCTGTTACCGTTAGTTATGCCCGTGCAAGTCAATATATTATAAAACAATAACTCTCAAATCACTGAGTAAAACATTCCATTAAAATCTACAGCTAGCAACAATACATAACAGAACTGTTTGAGGGAATCATGCAGGTTTGAGAGTCATGGTTTTATACCTATTGGACATACACTAGCATAAGAAGAAAATAGAGGCTGTTTCTCAGAAAAATAAAAGACCGCATGAAAGTCCCTCCAAAAGTTCTCAACCTGACCTTCTAAACAACAAGCAGACTGTGAGGAGGTGAAGCCAACATAAGGCAACAGTGATTCAATGACAGTGTTGAAAATAATCACATCTATTGACAGATTTTTGGGCCGACATTAATCAGGTGGTTAGTATTCAGCAGGGAGGACAGGTGATGGCAACGGACTTTTGTTTTGTTTTACACAATCTTGACCACTAAATTGCATAAGAAACCTGGTATAAAGTAGAAACTGTTCAGCAGCAGATAAAAAAAGCAAGTTAATTTACAGTAGTGACATATCTTACATCATTAATTTTTCAAAATAAATAACATTAAATATACAATTCCAGGTAGGAAACGGGTTAATTTCGCTGGTGGGGTTCTCAAATTTGGCTCATCTTGCGGAAAATGACAAACCGTTCACAGAAACGTGGTTGAAGCCAACCAATTCCTTTGACTGGCAAAACAAGGGGTGCAAAAGCCTTTTGCTGAAATTTTCCCTCTGAAGGCATTTCCTTTAACTGGAAAAGAAAAGAAAGATCATCATACTTACTATTACTTCCTGAAGCAGGGTTTAATGTGTGACTATTACTACTAGCTGAAACAGTTCAATTTACTTACCCTGGAATTTAAAATTGAATCCTAATCAAATGCCATCTCTTGACTTTTTCTTACACAGCGAGCCACCTTCCTCTTGAATTCACCGTTAGGGTCCTCCCTCCACTCTTTCTGTGGGAGCAACATCAGATTTTTTTTTAATGACCAATTCTCAATTTCGTTCATCTGCTCAGATAAAAGGAATGAAAAAGGGGATTTCCAGTGTCAGGGGAATGAGATAAGTAGTGTAACTCACCGCGGCATCCACATTAGCTGGTGAGTCGCTGTTGGGATCTGCCAGCATGGAGATAACACTAATCATGATTGTCTCTACCGTGTGGATTGGAAGCCAGCGCTCCTCAGGCTTTTCATAGCCAAACTTGTCTTCTCCCGGCTCATGCAGAATTGAGATGCAAACATCCCCGTTCTTTGCAACTGTGGAGAATGCGGGCATGGATTTAACAGCAGCCAATATAATGTGGCGACAGCCTTCAATACAATTAAGCTTAAAGCCTGGATTACTTTTCCTTTAAAATAATCCAATAAAGTAGCAAAAATGCATTTATTTTTCCAGACCATGTGATGGCAAGGAAGGTTTGAAGAAAGCAAACATCAAAGGACCTGCTGGAAGTGTTTACCATTTGGGTGCCAGATTTCAGTGATGAACTTCATCTTTGGAGGCCGTAGTGGATAATCATAGGGAAAGGTTAGGTATGCTTTAAAAAACCCTCCTTCACTGCAATACATAGAACAGAGCAAGGACAAATGAGAAAAAATGAACTGAGATAGTAATGCATGTATATTTCTCAACCAAAGACATTCTTAACCAAATAGTTCTCACTTACAATAGGGTATCTTGTGGGCCGATTATCACAACTTCCCATTTATATATGTCATCATCATCTATCAGACCAGCTGAAAAGCCCTCCACGGGGTTCTTGTTGAGCTCTGGGAAAAAGGCAGATGCTATCTTTTAATACAATGAGCTGGAAATGTAACCCAACTGTAGCACCTTCACAGAAGTGACAGGTCTAGTAGAAGTCGGGTACATATCAATGGGTGTATTCTGAAGAAGTAAACACTCAAAGTTGTTTGTTGTTACATTGACAAATCCCCTGCAACGGGTAGAAATAGGAGAGACAGTGGTCAAAGTGGCGAAAGATAATAATTTAATAAGCCAATTGGTACTATTTGACATATTAACACACTATATTCAATTACAGGCAGTGTATAGAGAGTGTATGTAACAGTAATCTGGGATTTGGTGAATGTCAGAACAAAAAAAACAAACAAAATTCAAAAATTCAACAGAAAACCATTACATGGTAAAGTGCAAGACAAGTGCATGTGATTTTTCATATGGCAATATAAACAACAAAAGGGAAAAAATAGTTAACACAGAACTGAGATTTAAATTGATTTTAAAATAGGCCACAACAGCACAACAACAGGAAGAAAACAAGCTGCTGCAAGGTTATGGTGCACATAAACACTGACATTGATGAAGTAATGATGGAAGGTAAAGGTAAATGTAAGGCGAGCCTTTGTTAGGGTTGTACTGCTGTGGATACAAATTCTAATGTGAAGCAGCTGCAGGAAATGTTGAGTTTGCATTCACAACAAATTAATGATACAAAGCATGTTAACAGCTGCTGACCGCAGTGAGAGTGAATACGTACTAAGTGCTGTATTAGCCCCTTTAATTAACACCATTACTCTTAAAAAAGAAAAGCATGAATTGTGCTGATTTAATCTCTTGAGCCTAGATGTGTGATTCTGGCTAGAACCATAACATTTAATATAACAATGTGCAGTATCGACACTGACTAATTAGCTTAAAGTGTTCTTGTTTGGCTGTTTATTGTATATTATGCTGACTCAATCAAATTGTGGTTTCCAAAAATAATCACTGTCGCTGTTGAACTGAATCACCAGCTCGAAGTGAACTAAATGAAACTGTGAAGACAGTGATTCACATCCCCACGCACAGAGAAACCAAAATTAGCATATTGTACAATCAGTACAATATGCTAAATCTGTCCTCTAATGGGATGATGGCCTGTCTACGTTTTTAACTCAATGGATGCAGAGTGTGGGGGGGGTTACTGCTGTCATTTCAGCACCACAGTCAGTGGTTATGGCAAGCTACAGTACATTTTCACAGTAGTTTTCTGATAAGAGTATACACTGTGATGTTGTGTTATAGCTGCTTTTTAAACAGTCTATGGTTATAGCTCAGATATATTTTCATTATGTTGAAGGCTGCATTACAGTTTTCTGAACTTAATTGACTTTTGCAGTTGAGTAAAAATTAATATAAATAGAATTAAAAAATGTATTTTCTCAGAGACCACTTCCTATCCCTTATTGTATGAACGCACGTAAAATGTTTTAATGTATGACTCTAACCATATGTGTTATAGAGGTGTCAACAACAATCATGGTTTTAATAGGCAAGGCTCTGCGGCCCGCGGTGTCACTGATGTGATCCATCAGTTTTAAAAATGTCCCATTTATTTTAGGCTCGGGTGACAAGCATCCAGACTCTGAACTAGACTGTCAGTCAGCTGCAGACCAAACTCTACATCAGGGCTGTCTCAGTGTCGAGGTCCATCTGGCGTCAGTGAGAAAAGATACGCGACTGCCACAAACTGTAATACTATTGATGATGATTCTCAAAATAAGCCTACAGGAAAACAACATGAGTTTCATTACTGAGGGCTTGAACACTGAGATACGTGCCCTCACTAAAAGCCGCTAACTAACCGGCGTTACAGCCTGAGCCAGATTTGACACCAGAAACCTTACATATTTTATATAGCTAGCTGGCGAGTTTGTAATTTTAATCAAGTTGCTACTGGTAAAATAGCAGTGGTTTAGAATGTATACAGCTATCAATACCAAAGCTAAAGTAATGAGGGCAAATGAGTCCCTGGATTGATTATTCCTTTGTTCCGTCAGCTAAACTAATGTCGAACTTGCTAGCACGCTAGCAAGGTTTGCGTTGCGTTTCCGACATAAACCTTATTTGAGACACGTCTACTTTATAATGTGCATCTGTATTTCAACTAGTGACCAGCTAACATTAATGAAAACAGCTTAGCAAAACACTGAACTGCAGTGATAAAGGAACCCATGTTGCTTGGTTAGCTTTCTGAGCTTACTCCTATGGCGTAAACATAGCTTTGCGTAGCTAAAAAAAGCTAACGTTAGCTGCTGGGTAGGTAGCCTTTATATCGGCTATATTTGCTTACAACTGTGTATTCACATTACCTGCCAGTTGTTTTCGAAGAAGTAATGCTGATTGTTCGGTCATGGTACGCGGACGTAAATGGAGAACACTTTGTGTCGATAAATACTTTCCGAAAAATAGAGCTAAAGCTGAAATCGAGGTGAGATATCTGCTGCCTGCTGCTGATTTCCCTCTGTGTTTTGACACAACGTTCAGCTGCTGGCTTTAGCTGTGCGCATGCGCGTCTGTGAGTGTGTGTGTGTGTGCGTGTGTGTGTGTGGGCGTCTCAAGCAAGGCAACGTTTCAGACAAAAAAAGAAAAAGAAAAGAAAAGGTATCACTGATGTTGTGGCCGCAGGGCTTGATATCAGAACATTTTAATATAGTGGAAAAGTTCCTTTTTTTCTGTCATTTAAGTCAAAAACGGAAACTTTCATATATTCTAGCTTCATTATAGATAAAGTAAAATATTTCAGGCCTTTTTTTGTTTTGATCTTGATGATTACGGCTTAGAGCTTATGGAAATCAAAACTCCATATCTCAAAATATTAGAATATTAGGATAAAGAATGTGTAATACAGAAATGTCGACCTTCTGAAAAGTTGAAAAATTCTGAAATAGGTTAATTTGTGCACTCGGAACTTGGTCCGGGCTCCTGTTACTGAATTACTGAATCAATGTGGTGTGGCATGGAGGCAGTCAGCCTGTGGCACTGCTGAGTCATTATGGAAGCCCAGGTTGCTTTGATAGCGGCCTTCAGCTCGTCTGTATTGTTGGTCTGGTGTCTCTCATTTTCCTCTTGGCAATACCCCATAGATTCTCTATGGGCTTCAGGTCAGGACAGTTGGCTGGCCAATCAAGCACAGTAACGCCATGCTCAGCAACTACTACTACTACTTACTAGTCGTTTTGGCACTGTGGGCAGGTGCCAAGTCCTGCTGGAAAAGGATATCAGCATCTCCATAAAACTCGTCAGCAGATTGAAGCACGAAATCTCCTGGTAGACTTGGACATGACTTGGACATTGACTCTGGAAACACAGTGGACCAACATCTGCAGATGACATGGCACTCTAAATCATCACTGACTGTGGAAACACTGGACTTAAAGCAACTTGGAATCTGTGCCTCTCCACTCACCCTGCAGATTCTGGGACTGCATGTCCAAATGAAATTAAACATTTACTTTCATCTGAAAAGAAGACCTTGGACCACTGAGCAACGGTCCAGTTCTGTTTGTCCTTAGCCTAGGTAAGACGCTTCATGTTGTTTCTGGTTCAGGAGTGGCTTGACACTAGGAATGCGACACTTGTAGCTCATTTCCTGGACACGTCTGTGCCTGGTGGCTCTTGATGACTCCAGCCTCAGTCCACTCCTTGTGAAGCTCCCATCAAAGTTTATGAATCAAGACTGCGGCCAACCCTGCTTGTGCACCTTTTCCTACCAGACTTTAACTTTCTAGAACTTTCTATGAATATTCTTTGATCCAGCACTCTGTGAACAGCCAAACCTTTCAGCAATGACCTTCTGTGGCTTACCCTCCTTTTGGACTGTCAAGTCAGAAGTTCCCCATGATTGTGGTTGAGTGTACTGAACTAAACTGAGAGATTAAAGGTTCTTCTTAGCTCAACATTTCTGTATTATATATTCTTTATTTTAATATTCTAATATTTTTTGGGGCGGCAGTAGCTCAGTCTATAAGGATTAGGCTGGGAACCAGAGGGTCACCGGTTCAGAGTTGTGGAGTGTGGTGCTAGTAGCTGGAGAGGCGCCAGTTCACCTCCTGCTGAAGGAGGCAGTGAGCAAGCTCCTGAACTGCTCGGGGCGCCGTACTGACTGGCCCTCACTCTGACATCTCTCTGTGTGTTGCTGTGGGTTGTGTTTGTACATGTGCGTGTGTGTCTTTCAGACCTGTGTGTATCACTAACATAGTAACAGAGTGAAAACACTGAGTTAAACAAATTAAATTTAGTATATCTTCTTCTTCTTTTGAGATATGATACTCACCCTACAGTTTCTGATGGGAGTGCATGTCTAAATGAAATTAAACATTTACTTTCATCTGAAAAGAAGACCTTGGACCACTGAGCAACGGTCCAGTTCTGTTTGTCCTTAGCCTAGGTAAGACGCTTCATGTTGTTTCTGGTTCAGGACCAGACCAACAATAAGCCGTAATCAAGATAAAAACAAAAATGTGTAATGAATGTAGAATATATGAAAGTTCACTTTTAGAATTATATAATGAAAAAAAAAATCAACTTTTCCAACTATTTTTCGGAGATTCACCTGTTGACTGGGGCACTTGCAGACGGAAGGGCACAAACAACATCATTCACAAGTGACCTCTATTATATCTTTGACTAAATGTGTATCATTTAGGACATCAAATCTGTAAGGTGAGCAGTGTGTGAGGAGAAAGAGGATACAAGTTAAAAAAGGTAACTTTTCCCCCTAAAACAAGACTGGGGTTATTTTCACCATAGCGCCTGTTAGTGCATTAGATGACTGCTAATACATAAATGTATAAATAATTTAAGAATGACTAATTTATTAGGGACGTTATAATTATTCTAAACCCAGTGACGGGTTATATGTATGTGATACATTTTTATTATACAAATAGCAAGGTTGTTGTTTACTGCTGCAGCTAGTACACAAGATGTGTTCATGACAATTGGAAATATGTTGCACCAACGACCTAAATTATATTCCATTTAAGACGAATGAAAAACGTTTTACTCGTTTGTTAAACGTTAAATGTCACTCTGTGCTTTTTCAACTATAATTTCTAAAGTAAATGAAAACAAAGTCGCTGATTTCATGAGAATATCATATTAACAAGCGTAGTAGTTGAAAGCACGAGCTTGTGAAGAGCACCTAAAGGCAGATATGTGCGGAAGGAAGGTGGTTCGGCGCCATATTTGATACAACGGAAGCTAGCTAGCAGTAGCTGTTTACAAGCCCAAACTTTTAACTTAAGACGGAAACCTAGAGCAAGCCCTCACCTTAATTGAAAATGAATGTAATAGATCATGTACGGGATATGGCTGCCGCTGGCCTTCACTCTAACGTTCGGATACTGAGCAGTTTGTTGCTGACGATGAGTAATAACAATCCGTAAGTAATGTCGGGAAGGGGTCCGTCTATTTCTTGGACAGTGCCCTCCTACACCAGTGTTTTATGTTGTCAGTTCGTGACAGTGATAGCCCAAAGCTAACGAGCCAACAACAGCTAACATCAATGATTGTAACTGCAAAGCATCTCGGGCATCTAAATTAATTCGAACACACCGCCTAAGTAATTACGTTCATATTAATTTAATTGATGTTAAATTGTTGTGCAAGACATAGGCTAGTTTACGTTCTTTTCCAAGAAGTAGTCGTCTCCTACAGTTAATTGTGCCTGCTATTAGCAACCGATCAGCGAGTATATATATATATATATAAACAGTTGCTATGTTAACAGTTGTAATGTCAAAGTTACAGTACAGTGTTTTTGTTCTGATGTAGCCCAGTCTTTATTCTTGTAGGAGATGGCTGAAGCAGGATGCCTCTAACGTTACTCCTTTGATTACTTTCTACTCTCCTGTGTTTTGGATAAATAAGTTAGACACATTCACGGTCTTTGTTTGTTTTTGTTGTGGTTTCCATGTTGAGAATATGTTTCATTAGTTTGGTAGTCTGTATATGTTTTTATAAACTTTTATTTTTAATCATGTGTGCAAAAGACACGTTTCTCTGCTGTGTTTACTCTGATTCTAATTACTTTGTATTTGTGTCTTTTTCGATTTAAGAGAACTGTTCTCTCCGGCCCAGAAGTACCAGTTGTTGGTTTACCACGCCGATGCAATTTTCCATGATAAGGAATATCGTAATGCTGCCTGCAAATACAGTATGGCATTGCAACAGAAGAAGGTGCTGAGCAAAACATCTAAAGTTCGTACTTCTACTGGTGGAGCTGCATCTAACATACAGGCACAGGTGTGTTTTATAGAACTCTCCATTTTCCAATTTTAGACTCCGTAATGAAAGTCAGTGTGTGTCCAACCAGATTACCTACAGACACAACAACTGCAGAAATATTTGTTTTTCTGTTACTGTTTTGATGATAGTATCCTACAATATTTTACACCTTGAGGGACAGTAAAGTCTCCTTGATGTTGGACACTTACTTTTACTTGCATTTACAGTGTATATTTAAACCCAACAATTGAGATGTTGAAATTTTGATAGAAAGTGACAAGTTGCTTTTGCTCTGCCCATCTGTTACTGTAGCTTAAAGGATAAAGTGTGCCACTTAAAAGATAGGACTTTATTTCTGTGTGTTAACGTCATGAGTGCCTTTTTCTGCTGCAAGTTTGTATCACCTCCTTAGGAGGAGGAGTCCTAGATGTCAAGATGTCATATTTTTAACAAAAATCCATACCACTGACGTGGTCAGTTGGCCTGAATAGTAATAGAAAAATGTACCGTTACCCTGAATGTTGTCTTTCAGAGTTTGCCGTCAGAAATTGAGGTAAAGTACAAGATAGCTGAATGCTACACCATTTTGAAACTGGATAAAGATGCCATTGCAGTGCTCGATGGGATTCCATCCAGACAGAGGACTCCAAAGGTAGGCTGTTACTCTCGTACTTACTGTAATATATTTCTTCCCCCTTCATGATTTATTTGCCTTTTATAATACAGGACTCATACCTGTTAACTCAGAAGTGCTGGACAAATAATTAAGGCCTTCCATCGTGTGTGATCAGTCACAGCACTTGAATGTGCAGCATGCGCACATGGGACCAAGTGAGACCTCTGTGAGCATTATGCAGAGATGCCCACAAGTCTTTGAGCTAGAGTCCAAGTCCGGTCTCTCGTGGTTATAATGAATGTTGGATCACCTGCTGCGTTCAATCCAGGCTGTTTAACACTGCTTCGCTATAAGGAATTCTGTAACTGTAACCTGTTTTTCACTTACAGAGCACAACCATGTAATGTGCAATGCAATTAATGACAGCTTATTAACTACTGAAAGTCAACACACTCCCCAGACTTAAACCCAGTGTAACGTTAACTAAAGAAAACTGTAACGTTACATGATCAACAGTAAACCTGTAACCTGTTTGCAGCCACTGTTAATAATTAACGTGATGGCAGCCAGCACACCACAAGTTTGGCAAGTAAACAAACGCTCATTCATCTTTTCATAACGAACGACAGTCGGAGTAAACCTCCCGCAGGTCGTAGCTGAAGCAAGAAGCAAGCTAACGTTAGATGCTGAGCTAAACATGTTTACTCACCTCAGGTCACTAACTTATTTTACATTCAGCGCTTCTTTGTTTGGTTCTTGTTGTATGAAGTTTTAAAGCCAAAGTTTATGATGAATGGCTCAGCAGCTGCCAGTGTTTGTTGTCCTTTCTCACGTGCGGCCCCGTGCAGCTGTTACTACGTGTGACGTAGGCAGGTTATAGGTAACGGAGGGAGGGAATAACAGCAAGCTCATCAGACGTTTCCAAAAAATAAACATTGTTCAAGAGTCCCGCACCTCGAGTCCGAGTCAAGTCTGAAGTCTTCTGAGGACGAGTCTCAAGTCACTGTGTGAGGACTTAAGTTGGACTCGAGTCTCAAACTTGAGTCCCCATCTCTGGCTTTGTGTACACATAGCTTTGTCTGCAAACTACACAACTAGAGAAAGAAATATTTTAGCTAGACTTTTTAGCTGGTTCTGCTTAGATAAATAATGGTGTCATGATCAGCAACCCAATAACAAAATGTTGAGTCCATTAGCTTTATAGAGAATTGTGATAAAATGGATGTTATTGTTCTTTCTCACCTCAGATCAACATGATGCTAGCTAACCTGTACAGGAAAGCTGGTCAGGAGCGTTCTGCTGTGACAAGCTACAAAGAGGTCCTCAGACAGTGTCCCCTTGCCCTGGATGCAATCATTGGTATGCCTAGACACCTTCACCCCGAGCAAAAAACTTTTAACCTGCTGAGTCACTTGTGCCTGCTTAACTCACAGTGTTTCCCCTATATACACTGTGTGAACACAGCTAGCTCCCTCTCCTCATTCTTCATAGGATGTCTACGTGAAATTTGCTGTTATAAGAGTAGCAAGGAATAAGGCAGTGCATAATGTGTGTGTGGTTGAGAGAAAGAGAGTGAGCGACAGTAAGTGGGGGTGAAATGAAATGCTTGGTAATTCTACAGAAGGTATAAGTCAATTAATATGCTTGTTCTTACATGTTGCCAATTTTTTAATATTCATTTCTACAGATAAGTGTCAAAAGCTGTGAATTAAGACGCAAAAGGCAAACATGAAGTAATCCCATCTGTAATGATCCTGTGGTCATATCAACAGGGTCATTATAATGCTTAGGTGATGCACCATGAATGTAAAATCATTATGGAGAGCATCAAAACTAACTAAATGACATTTCCCAGATCTAATGGTTGTAGTTAAACCCTGCCAAATGTGTGCACCTAAGTCTTCCACAAACCTAGGAAGAATGCTGAAATTCAAGTTATTGTGTTGCACATGAATACGGCCGGTGTCGCATGCTCATGGACAGCACTGCTGTACCTATACTTACACATATAGGCTCTCGTGTGCACACGTACATGCTTAATAAAAAGGTTCTGCTCAAATATCTCTTCCACCAGTGTTGTTTTTAGCGCACCTTGACAGACCTGTTTGTGAAAATGGCTCTTTCCTTAATTTTTTTTTAGGTCTTCTCTCTTTATCAGTCAAAGGAGCTGAAGTAGCTTCCATGACTATGGATGTGATCCAGAGTATCCCGAACCTGGACTGGCTCTCCGTTTGGGTTAAAGCGTATGCCTTCATACATGCAGGGGACAATCAAAGAGCCATCAACACTATATGGTGAGCAGAGCAGTGACGTGACTCCGTGTTACTGTTTCCTTTAATGCGACAGTCATGTTTATTTGATGTGTCTGTGTCCCTCCCTCATCTTGTTTCAGCTCTCTTGAGAAGAAGTCTCTGTTGCGGGACAACGTGGACCTCCTGGTGAGCCTGGCAGATGTCTACTTCAGGGCAGGTGACACCAAGAACGCCATCCTCAAATTTGAACAAGCCCAGATGCTGGACCCGTACCTCATCAAAGGTGCGCTGCAGGATGACTTTACAGTCGTATGCAAAAGTTTAGGCACCCCTGACAATTTCCATGATTTTAATTTATAAATAATTGGGTGTTTTGGATCAGCAATTTAATTCTGAGCTATCAAATAACTGAAAGACAGTAGTGAAATAATAATAATATGTATTTATTAAGTGACCTAGCATCGGTTTCAAACTGTTAGTTAAGTTATCTTCATGGCTTTATTGACGGTCATTGTGTGTGTGCCGTGGGCTCGGGATGTTGCACCAACTTCACACTAGTCTAAGCTACCTTAAACAGTTGTTGCTGTCCAGGTAAAGTGTAACTTATGTTTGCACTTGCAGGAATGGATGTTTATGGCTACCTGATGGCCCGCGAAGGACACTTGGAGGATGTTGAAGTCCTGGGGGGACGATTATTTAATATCTCAGACCAGCATGCAGAACCCTGGGTTATCTCTGGGTGAGTCTCTGACTGTGCAGCCGTAATAGGCCTTAGATCGGGACACATGTCATTTCAAGCAGACTGTACAACAGATGGGTAATGGTTCCTTTTTTTTTCGACGTCTGTGAAATGAAATATCATTGTCCTGTTAAGTTTTTTTGTAATACCTTGAATTTGTTTCTGTTCAGCTGTCACAGCTTTTATAGCAAGCGTTACTCCAGGGCCCTCTACCTGGGAGCCAAGGCCATCCAGCTAAACAGCAACAGTGTGCAGGCTCTCCTCCTGAAGGGGGCAGCACTGAGAAACATGGGTCGTGTTCAAGAAGCCATCATCCATTTCAGAGAGGCCATGCGCTTGGCACCCTGCAGACTGGACTGCTATGAAGGCATGTCTGGGTTTTATTTGAAGCTTCTTTGAGTACTTAGAAAAGCGCTATATAAGTCTAAATTATTATTATGATGTCCTTATATGGTCTCTGTTCTTTTTAGATGTTGTACATTTCTGTTCTAACACTGACTTTTAAGTATACCTGTGCCTTCACAGGTCTGATCGACTGTTACCTGGCATCCAATGGGATTCGAGAGGCTATGGGGATGGCCAATAACATTTATAAGACCCTGGGGGCCAATGCACAGACTCTGACCATCCTTGCCACAGTGTGCCTGGAAGATCCGGTGACTCAGGAGAAAGCCAAAACCCTGCTGGACAAAGCACTGGCCCAGAGACCTGACTACACCAAGGCTGTGGTCAAGAAGGCCGAACTGCTCAGTACGTACAACTGATAGATCCAACCTTTTGAAGTGCTCCCCAGCAACAGCGTGCACATTTTTCAGTATTTATTTGAGTTTGCTTTCACAAATTAGCTTAAATTAGTGACACGGTTCCCAGAAATTTAAACTGTAGTCAGTTACATAAAGTAATGAACATCGACGATAGACAGGTGGAAATGAAAGTGTCCTGTTTTCTTGTGAAGGCCGGGAACAGAAACACGAAGAAGGGATCGCTCTGCTCCGGTGCGCCCTGGCCAATCAGAGTGATTGTGTCCTGCACCGAATGCTGGGAGATTTCCTGGTGGCTGTCAACGATTACCAAGAAGCCATGGATCAGTACAGCATAGCACTAAGGTAACCAAAGGCTTTGAGAATATGTCGTTCTGAAAGTCTATTTTTAGCCACTTTATAAAGGAAATACCAACGAAAGCCCAAATATATACATTTTTAACTGTCAGTATGTGTGTGTTTATTATTTCTAATCCTAAGCCTGGACCCCAATGACCAGAAGTCTTTAGAAGGCATGCAGAAGATGGAGAAGGAGGAGAGTCCCACAGACGCCACGGTGGAGCTGGACGGTGATGACATGGAGGGCAGTGGAGAGGATGGAGATCTTGAGGGCAGTGACAGTGAGGCAGCACAGTGGGCTGATCAGGAACAGTGGTTTGGTATGCAGTGACCCAGGCCACTGTCGGCTCAACCCTCCCAACACACTGCAGCCCGTGGGACACTCTCTGATGCCCTTATCCCAACATTCTGACAACCTTATCAGCCCCTTCACTCTGGAGCTAGTTGAGGCTCATCTATCCAGCTGTCCAATACATTCTTACGATCCAATGGACACTCAACCTCAGAGGAAATCAAGAGGAGTTGTTTTACACCATGATTGCTTATTGTTTGTAAAAATGAAGTAATATCTCTTCAGCACTTCTTGTTTTGTCTTTGCTGGCAGTCTGCGTCTACCAGAACAGAACTGTTCCAGGTAGTGCAAAGTACAATTTAATTACACCAGTGTCCGTGTTTTGGATCCTTTTTTGAGGTTGAGTTGGCAGGATGTTTATTGGGAAATGTAGGCTGAAGCAATTGGTCAAAATCAGCTGGTGCGATGGGAATATATTTTGTAGCCCCATAAAGGCTGGATTTGTCTGTCAGATTTTAAATTTGTGTTTGGTTTGAGCTTGACTGACTTGCGTGTTTGCAGGGAAGGTTGTGAAATTGCCAGGACTTTGCGTCTCTGACAGGCTAAGAGGGTCTGTGAAAAAGTGACCATGTACCATATTTCTGCTGCTCTTTAAAATGTATCAACTTAATTTTAACATGAGAATGCGTCATGTAATGTACATGCTTATTATGGTGTTGTGTAGTCTGCCTTTCTGTATAAAAAAAATAACCCTACAATTGACTTAAGTTGGGAAGTGTGACTTAACCATTTCAAGAAAAATGTTTATAGTATTTTGTACATATTTTTAAAGTGCATACAATTATTAAATGCTCACTTGACATGAATGTAGTAGACCAGTTTTGTAAGAGTCCAGTGTTTGACCGCACATTACAACAACTACTGTTTAAGTGAATCTTAATGACACCAGGAAGAATAGCGAGCAAACCTTTCATGTATGACAGTTTTATTTACCTGAAACCAAAGTTCATGTGATACATTGTACAATCATCTCTGAAAATACAGTACAGCAGTTTGGCAAAAAATGCCAGTGGAGGGACTGCCTGCCGTTCTCAGGGTAAAACGTATGCAATCACTGCACCGCTGCACGTCCGCCTTCCCAGATATGGCAAAATCTGCTCCAAAACATGGTGCACGTCTCAGTGCAAAGCAAAATAAAAGGCTGTTTGGTTTTAAATATCCCGTAAAAGTATTTCCTTAGGAAAGATGAACTGGTTTTTTTGAGCTTATTTAACATTTGTACTATCTGACGAATGTCTATTCTATTTACCAATACTATACATTGTCTATTACACAAGTCTGGTAAAACAGATGGCTGACTCAGCGGACATGCACCATGGAATATAGTACAGGTTACTGTACATGGTACTAAGATCTTGGTCTAAAAATATGGCATGAGGATTGTATTGTAATCTAAGGCTCTTCATGCAGGAGGATGAAGCACTGGTGAGGTGAGATGGGCTTGTTTTCATCAGACATGTATTTATGGCCAGTCTATAAAAATGATGTATGAACTTTATGAGCCTCTGCCTTCCTATTAACTGACATGCAGCTCTTGTAAAGATGTGCTGCCCAAAACACACATGCACAACACAAAACAAAACCAAAGTTTCTGCGAGGAATTTAGAGTAGAGGAGGGCTTACTTGGCCTTTGCTGCAAAGGAAAAAAAAAAAAAAAAAGGAAAAATCAAATCAGTGGATACAAGAATCACAGGCCAATGTTAAAGCATCTGAGCAGCAAATCATTTCAATTCATCAATACTGGTCATAAAAATATATTAAGGTCATGCTGTGGGCAAGCAGACGATTAGGTCAAAAGACATGTATAAATAAAAAGGAAACAATAACACCATGTCCTGTAATGGTGGGGGGGCACTTAAAAGTCAGTGTGTCTGCCAGTTACCAAAACATGCTGCCAATCTACAGTCAAAAATAACCGGCACCAGTGACACTGCCAGTTTCAAATGCAAAAGGCTCCTATTTCTGCTCAGCGTGTACCTGGCACTTTGTGACATAGAAGGCATTTTTCAAACACCTTAAATTTTCTCCTCCTTTTCTTGTACCATTGAAAGTATGCTTTTAAAAAAAACTGCTAGTCCTATTAAAATATGAGCAGCTGTCATAAGAGCTACGAGAAACCACATAAACATGAGTGCTAGTTTGCATGCAGGACAAAGTGTACTCACTCTGCAGGTAAACAGGTGGAAGGCATTGGGAGAAACAACAGTTAGCTTTAAAACTAAAAAAAACCAAAGTGCTCACTGGCCTGGTATTACTGGAGCAGGCATGCAGAAAGGCTAAGACCACACGTAAGTAAACTGGTGTAAATGTATGGAGCATTTTGCCAGCAACAACAACAAAAAAAACAAATCTATACAGGGATTCTACTTTGTGTGCTATGTACAGATATACAGACTCTTCCAATGGCCGGTCGTCCACGTTGTGCTCAGTTGATAAGACTAACATCTTCTTGGTGCGTTTTTACATATTCAAGTACAGTATGTGCACATTATACATACATTAGAAAGATTACTGTAATTAAGAGGCAAAATTAAGACTGAATCTCAAAAATCAAAGAAAAAATTTAAATCAAGACAAATGTGTTTTCTTCAAGTAAACAAATTTAACAAATCTCAGGCTTTATCAAAAATTGCTCTGAATCAAACTGGTGACGTATCTTTGTCCTCTCTTCCCTCCGATAACAGAAAAGAAATACATTTTTAAAAACCGACAACATTAAAATGTGTGCGAGGGCTTTGTCTCTAATGCAAAACAAATTGGTGCTTACCTCAACACGTCAAATGAAATGGTTGTTAAGACAAATGTATAGCAATGGTCATATTAACAGCATTGAGGTAGCTGTGCTCTGCCTAATGCAGAAAATAATGGATGATTATGCATGGAGCTCAAAAATGACTATAGAGGTTCATGCTGGGGCAAATATATTCAAGTCTTGCCCCAAATTAGTATTGTCCTATACGATTCTTAGAATTACATCCTCATCACGCCCAGCATTTGTGTCCCCACAGCCCCTCCCAAAAATTACAAAATATTAATTATTATAAAATAGTGTAAATTCTCTGTACAGCTCAATACATAGCTCCAACATGGTGGACATCTCTAACTGTTTGAAACTGGGGATCAAAAGAGAGAAAAGCGGGATGGTGAAATAAAAACACATGGACGCAATGTCAATCAAAGTCATTAAAATATGACTAAACCCCCCCCACCCCGCCAAAAAATATGTATCGGTGAAAATGTCCTAAATACAAAAGGTCAGACTCTCATAGCGGGTGCAAGTATTGACTGTGAGTTGTTCCGAGTTAATGTAACTGTGTTAGATGTGTGTTAATGTCCACTTCACACTGGTGCACAAGGAGAGTAGTGTACAGGAGTCAGTTAGGGCCACAACATGGCAGACACGTTAGTGTCGGTGCTGTAGATCCATAGCACCAGGGGCAGGGAGATGGCCACGAAGGGCCAGGAGATGCCCTCGGAGCATGCAGACAGAGAGCAGCCTTTGCTGGCTGGCTTCTCCAGCTGTTTACCAAAGTCCGAGTAGTTCCTGGACATAAACTTAAGCAGCTCGTCTAGCAGGATGACGGGCAGGGAGATCTTCAGCACCATCATCCACTGGGTCAAATCCAGAGGGGTGATCTGGAAGATGACCTGGGAGAGAACACAGCATCATTTAACATTACAGCTACTTTTTACCCAGATTATGAGTGCACATGGTTTCAGCATGGGTAACTCCTGTACCCCACCAAATGTCCTGTCACATTCTACCCTACAGTACACACGACCAGTAGGGGCATTTAGTTGAATAGTATGGGGCACCTGGTGGCCTAGTGCAGGGGTTTTTAAAGCCTGAGACTTTGGGCCTCCCCTCAGACAAAGCTTGGGAAGAGACATCCCCCTTTCCCACCCTTACTTTACTTGGTTAGTTTCACTCAATTCCTGGATGCCTATGGGATCATGATTTTGTAGACACTCAACAATTGAGCCAAGATAGCCAAATATTGCTGTCTGACAACTTCAGACTATAATACATAAAGTTTCTGACTCTGAAAAGCTCCCAAAAACTACCGCTTTCCGCTGGTTGCTGGCAATAAGAAGACTCCGGGGAGGTCAAAGCGCCAGTCAGGAAACAGTCCAGCATTTAATATTTTAGCTTTAGAGTTGCTGGTAGGTCGATTTGAATGAACTTTTGACAAAGCCAGGATAGCTTCCCGCAGTTTCCAGTCTTCATGCTAAGCTAAGCAGCTGCTGGATGTAGCTTCATATCAGCCAGCTATTAAGAAGTGGTATCAAGCTTCTCACCACAAAGTAAGCAAATAAGTGTATTTCCCATAAATGTAGTAAATGTAAACGTTTAACTATTGTAAAATGATGTATTGTAAAACTCACAGGCAGAGGTTCCACATAGAGGATGAGGAAATGGAGGGACATGGAGAGGCAGATGGCCCCCAGGAGCCAAATATTATCCCAGGGAGGCATCCTCAGCAGGGACTGGTTCTCCGACAGACTGCACAGAAGAGAGAACACAGATGGTGAGTCATTTATACAGACTGACCTTCATTTTCTTAGTGCAAATGATCTTTAGAGGAGAGCTTTGTGGTTTCTGAGAGGCACTTTTTCACCTGTTGAGAGCATTGCACATCTCAATGGTGACGAGCACAGAAAGGGCCATGGTCATTGGGTAGGGCGACTCAAACACGTGGCAGTCCAGGCCATCAAACTCTGGGTTGTCTGGGGCGCACTGGAGGAAGTGGCTCTGTGGGGAGGCAGGCAGGGGAGTGAGGGGAGGAGAGGGAGAGGCAAAGAGCTGAGGGAGAGCTGAAGGATGATCACTCAGACAGACTTACCAGCTGGTAAAAAGTGAGCTGAGGTCCATCTTCAGAGACAGTAAACCACCAGGCGGCAGCTCCTACTGTGGCTGCTCCCACATAGCCTAAGAACAGAGACACCAAATAACATTAATATCCACAAATTGCTTATTTATCAAACTGCATGACAGCAAATTAAAGATTCTTCTGATACTATGTGAAAAAAAAAAAGATCATTATCAGCTAACCCCCAATGGCCAGGTATCTGAAGAAGAGCCAGCCAGAGATGAGGGGCTCCTTAGCGTTACGAGGAGGCTTTTCCATGATGTCCAGATCTGGGGGGTTGAAGCCCAGAGCGGTGGCAGGGAGGCCATCAGTCACCAGGTTCACCCAGAGCAGCTGAACTGGGATCAGCGCCTCGGGGAAGCCCAGCGCCGCCGTAAGGAAGATGCTATCAGTAAAAATAACACCAGTTAGCAACTGTCCTGTTCGTCAACAAAATGTTAGTCAACAACCTTTTTTCCATGACTAAGTCGAGACGTTGACGAGCTAAAAAAAAAAAAAAAAAAAAGAGCTTTGAGAATAAAACCTATGACGAAATGTATGTTTAGATGAGATTTTCCCCTGATTGTGTGTCTAGCCTGTCTGTGAAAACCTGTATCAACAAGGCATGCATTGCCCATCATTGATTGACGTGTGCAGATTCCCAGAATCCCAGGTGATGTGCTCCCAAACATCTAGGTGATACACTTTATTATAATTCGGCAGAAAGGAAAACGCTGCATTGATGGGAGAGTCAAGGCTAGAGATATCTAACTAAAAGGTAAGGAATCCAGATATTGCACAAGTAAAAGTGTTAAGAGACTGAAATGTTGCCTGATGAAGTTCAACACTTGATACCGTCACCTTGATTCCAATATCTGTAATAGCCTAAAATAATTAGTTAAATAAAATATTTTGACTTTTCATTATATTAAAACTGGAGTAAAACGTTTTGAGTTGTTGTCGAC